ATTGCAAATTGCAATGCTGCAATGCCACTGTAAGAGGCATGAGGCATGAGGAGGAGGGTTGGGCACTTGGGCAGAGAAGTAACTGATGGAAAGAAAAAAAGAAAGGATAAATGGATGATGGGAAAGAGCTTCGTCCTAATCCACGATGCCTGTTGGCTTAAAGATACAGCCAGCCAACTCATTTCTTATTTTTCTCTTGCAAGTAACCTCTTTTTTCTTCACATGAATTAATCAGTCACTCATATATTCTTTGTTCATTTTTCTAATACAATACAACCCAGAAGTCTTTCACTTTTTTATAGGACACCCCCAGTGTTCCCAACCAAACCCATTTGAATGCTCTGATGATTTTGTTATATTTTTACAAGATTTCATAAGGGCCATTTCTTTTGTGTCCAAAAAGAGGGACATTTCTTTTTTGATCTCCAAGTCACCCACTTCACATTGAAAGAAGCACAAACATGAACCACCTGTGCTTTTTTACTTTAGTTCACAATGGAATCAATCAAGCTAGTTGAAAAAGCACCCCTTTGCATTTCTAAATTAATCTTTAAAGACAACTGTCTTCCTTAAGAAAATATCACTATCTTTTGTCACATCCTCATTTAAATTCTTCTATTCAAATTGACCTAAGTAAAAGTGTGACATATTGTACACTCACTTACATGAGAAAGACCAAAAAGTCTTTATTATTGCTTTTTATAAAGTAAAAATAAAAAAATCCTAGCTATGGGAATGCTCATATAAAAAGAGAGAAATCCCATCCTACAAAGAGAAGTATATCAGAATCATACACTCTCTCCCCTCCCACAACGCTCAAAAGATACTGTGTGTGTGTATATATATATATGTAGAGAGAGAGAGAGAGAGAAAATACATAAACTCCTACAAGCTGCCGATAAGGTATATAAGCCATCCATTGCAACAATCTGTGCATCCCCTTCCATTTGAAGAAATTCATATTCCCTCTTGATCTTCAGCAAAAGATTTCCTCTGTCATAAATTAAGTCTTCTTTTGCTTCACCAACAGATAGATTCTGTGCCACTTTGAGCCATCTGCTATCTTCTTGTCACTCTTTTAATATGAAAGCCAGATCATCATCACAACAGTTCTTAAGATTGGTGGCAGCAGCTTAACTAAGTCATGACGGGCAATGGGATGGCCTTCTTCTCAGCAAATTTCATGCTTCAAACCCCTCACGATCATGACGATCATCAACCTCCCACTTCTCTCAATCCAATGTTGCCTTCCTGCACACCTCAAGATTTTCATGGTACTCTCTCTCTCTCTCTCTCTCTCTCTCTCTCTCTCTCTCTGGGGCAGAAAAACAAATCTTTATCCTTAATGGCTTTTATTAATTTGTGGTGTTTTGTGCAGGTGTGGCATCATTTCTAGGAAAGCGATCAGTGTCATTTTCAGGGATTGAATTGGGTGAAGAAGCTCATGGGGAAGATGATTTATCAGATGACGGGTCACAGGCAGGAGAGAAGAAGAGGAGGCTTAACATGGAACAAGTGAAAACACTTGAGAAGAACTTTGAGTTGGGGAACAAGCTTGAGCCTGAGAGAAAAATGCAGTTGGCCAGGGCTCTTGGCTTGCAGCCAAGACAGATTGCTATATGGTTTCAGAACAGGAGGGCAAGGTGGAAGACAAAGCAATTGGAGAAAGACTATGATGTCCTTAAGAGACAGTTTGAAGCAATCAAAGCAGATAATGATGCCCTCCAAGCTCAGAACCAAAAACTTCAGGCAGAGGTTAGTTCAATTAAATAATGTGATTTTAAAAGTACTTATTTAACCAAATTCTGCATATTTTTTTTTAATCTTAAGAGTTTGTAGAAATGCTTCAAAGTTTGCATGGTATGGTGCCTGGTTCTGTGGAATATAATTTGGAAATTAATCATGATCTCCTTTTCATTACAAAGGTTTTTGGCTTTTTTGACTTTTAATTCTTGTATCATGATTTTCAGAACCTTTATCTGTTGATTGGGGTCCCCTGAACCAATAATCTCTGATTACAAAAAAAGTTGCTTTTCCAACAAAGATGCAACTTTTTTGATGCCCTGATTAATTGATCATAATTTGGGTAAAAGGGTAATCATGACTCTCTTAAAGTACAGATCTTTTTTACACATCTGAGCTAGCTCTCTCATTCATCTATATCTGTCTGTCAAATATTCATGTAATAAACACAATTTAACTACCTATGGCTATGTATGCTTCAACTTGACTGGTCAATTTGATGGCTGCAGATATTGGCATTGAAAAGTAGAGAACCAGCGGAATCTATCAATCTCAACAAAGAGACAGAGGGCTCTTGCAGCAACAGAAGTGAAAACAACTCAGATATCAAGTTGGACATTTCAAGAACGCCAGCTATCGACAGCCCTCAATCTACTCATCCAAATCCAACCAGCAGAACCCTCTTTTCATCCTCTCTAATAAGGCCGCCTTCTGGAGTGGCACAGCTCTTTCAAAACACATCAAGGCCTGAAGTAATCCAATGCCAGAAGATTGATCAGATGGTCAAAGAAGAAAGCTTGACCAACATGTTCTGTGGCATTGATGATCAGTCTGCAGGGTTTTGGCCATGGTTAGAAACACATCAATTCAATTGAGCCGAACCCACCAAAGTGTTAAATTGAGCCAAACCAAGATTACCATGTTTCTATATTGAGTTTTTAATTAAAATATTTCATGTTTTGGTACTTAGATTAAATATCAAGTTCGATTTTCAAGTGGGGGCTGGAAATCTTTATGGAGGAATTAATAAAGGGGTATGTTATATGTGTCTTTGAACTTTGATACCACGTTTTCTAGAGGTGATGGGGAGAAAGGTTTGCCTTACCAGATTGGTTAAACTTAATGCGATAAAAAATCCAAGAGAAATTGAATTACATTTGGTAGCTAGTGACTGAATGTTACAGCTCCTAGCATTAGGCAGGGCCATGAAATAAAAAAGGGATTCTCTCTTTCAGTTGTCTGTTTTTTTTCTTACTTTGGCATCATGCCTTTGTACCGTCTCAAAGAAAAATGCTTGCAAGTGCCTTGAAGAAAAGTTCTCTTGTGATGATTTTTTTTTTTTCTTTTTACTTTTTAATTTTGTTGTTGCTGATTTCATCAAATGCAGTACCAAATGGTGAACAAAATCTACTTGAAGTTAAAAAAAGAATATAAAATTGAAAGGGAGAGAGACGGAGAGAGTATCCAGCACACATTCCAAGAGGAAATGAAGACAAGGGGATAGAAGAGTGGAGAAAACAGAGTCTGGAAAAAAGGTCTTTCTCGTGAAGGGGACGTTGGCAAGTTTTCATTTCATGTAATGACAAAGGAGGGAAATGGACAAAAACCCAAGTATATGCCTTCTCTGCACCACCACCTCTTCTCTCTCTCTCTCTCTCCGTATTTGTATGGAGAGGAGGAAGAGAAAGAGGAGAGGTCATGTGAACTCACTGTCACCCACTTCCTAACATCCCACAGAGAGTCCCTTTTCAACTTGCTTTTAAAATATGCATCTCCCTTCCCACACTTTCTATCTCCCCTTTCTCAATGATGTAATGCTTTACTTCCAACACATGTCATTTCTGGAACAGTTATTTTCAAGTGACATCAACAAACCATTTATCCTCATCCTTATTTGTCACTGTTTTCCAAGATATTTTGAGCTCAATTTAAACCAAACGCTGCTTCACACATATAATCCTCCTGCATGCAAAGCCTAATAATGCTGCATTTGTTTTGTATATAGGTTAAGTTGCAGGCATGCATGCATTTGAAGAAGACATCCCATATTTCCTAAATTCCTAATCTTATCATGGGAACCAGGGCTTATACATTTTACAGTTGCTGCTAACTAGCAACTGTCATAACAGTAACAGATAAATAGATTCTAATTATTAGGCAATAACAAGCTTAATTAATCGAAAACCAGCCAGTAACTATATACATTATAAGAACAAACATGTGACAGAATCTGCATAACCTTCTCTCCATATATATATATATATATATATATATATATCTAGCATCAATGAAATTAAGTTGACACTGGAGAAAGAAAGCTAGCTAAGCACGCAAAAAATATTAATGCGCCGTCATGCTGCATGTTGTTGTTTTTTATTTTTCTTAATTCATGGGATCATGTGGTGGAAGCAGCCGCAGCAGCAGCAGCAGCATGGCTGGAAACTACGGCATTTTGCTGACAATTTGAGAGGTGCCAACTTTCACAACTCATATAATATTGTGTAGTGGCATGATTAACAATTCCCAGTTAATAACAACTCGTTAAGTGGCCACGTGCCTTTGTGGCCTCACATTCACACCTTAATTAATATCAATTAAGCAAATAAGTATATTGGATTAAGATAACAGCAGAATAAGAGAAACCCAAAAGCATGTTTGCCATTTTTGAGACCATAGCTTGAGGATTGCATGTGCAGAGAGCTATAGGTATAGCACATACAATTATTGCATATTTTTATAATGTTTGAAATCCTTCAGTGACTTTTTTGGGTGATGATGACTTAAATTAAATATATGGATCAATCATTTTTATCTGCGTTCGAAGTTGATCCTCACCACTTGGATAACAAACAAAAAGATAAAAAAAAAAACTGATGAGAGAGAGAGACTAATCCGTCACGTTGGAAAATAAATTGATGGTTTCATAACTTATTTTTTTTGGTTGCATTTTGATGAGCCTAGCACTGAATTGGTCCAAGTAGATTTGATTTTGGGTTGAGCCCAAATGAGCCTACATAGATAATGGCCCATTTTTTTTTTTTTTGTTTTTTCTTGGAACCAAATAAAAAAAGGGAGTTTCATTAAAACACCCAAAATGGAGGTTGAAATTATAAAAAAACCCAAGCACTATTTAAACATATAAACACACCCAAAACCCATCATTACACACACTCAAAACCCATTTATAAACACACCCAAAAAGTTGACTTTGGGGTTAATTTTGGGTGTGTTTCTATGTTTAAATAGTGCTTGAGTTTTTTTATAAATACATGTCTAGGATTGAGTTTATTTATAAATTTGTAATAAAAAAACTCCATCTGTCAACTCTAGCTCTAGCCAATAGAAACTCAGAGAAATCTGAAACACACAATTTTCAGCTACCGACCACCCAATCCAATATTTGACACTCCTTTCCTGTTTCTCTATCTTCTCTTTCTCAAACTTCAAGCAAGCCCAAATGGCCTCCACTCCAATTCTCTCTCCCACTCCCACAACCACCTCTTTAGTCCACCACCACCACCACCACCACCACCACCAATCTTTGCACCTCTCCTCCAAACTACCCTTTCCCACCAGACCCACTACTTGCAATAACAACAGACCACTCACCAGACTCCACGTGTCCACCCAACCGAACACCACCACCACCTCCAAGAAACCCACGACGGAGACCATCTTCTTCGACGGCGGAGCCCACTACGGCGACCTCTTGGCCAACCTTATTCTGGGCTTCACTCTTCTCTGGTTGCCGTTGACTCTGGCCGCCGTTTTCAGGGCCTTCTTTTTGAGGTACAGGTTCACCAACCTGCGGGTGACGGTGATCTCGGGATTGACAGGTCAGGATAGGAGCGATTTCTCGTACAAGGTGATCAAGGACGTTCAGGTGGTGCCACGTTTTATCGGTGAGTGGGGTGATATTATCATAACTCTGAGAGATGGTACGAAGGTGGACCTGAGGAGTGTGCCTAAGTTCAGAGAGATTGCCAAGTATTGCCTCTCGTTGGCTGATAAGCCTGCCGTTTTGAAGGAAAAAGGATCTAAAGGCTTTTAATTATATAAGCTTTAAATTTCATGCAACAAAACAATCAATGTTTTATTATTTTTCTCTTTGTATAAGAAATTAAGAATTCAGTTGAAGGATGCAAAATCATTTTTTGTACATAATTAATTCATTCTTGCACTTTTAGCTTTTCCTTCTTGGGGTTTTTTTTTGGGGGTCACTAATTAAGTTATCTTTGCTTATGTTGAATGAATGTCTAGGGTCTAATTTCAATTTGCAGCATGGTCCAAGCTTGTCCTAATATATTGGCCTCGAGAATTTGATAACTCAACGACTTGGCCTGAAATTGGGCTCTGTTATACCGTTTAAGTTAGGCCCAATTCATAACCCAAGCTTGATCTGCCCGTCCGGTCCTACATTCGGGCAAAACATTTCACTTTGACGATCATATTACCACGTAGTATAAGCGATGCATAATATTATAAATAAGTTTATTAATAACTGTGACAGTCGAAGGATTTCCCGTAAGTTTGTGAAAGAGATTGGGATGCATATCCTCCAAGGAGACCATGGTAAAAAAATAATAAATCAATCAAAATTTTATTATTATTTTAAATAGAAAGGAAAAAAGCCTCAGCGATGCTTGGAGATTAGCCTGTCCATAAAACTTTGGACCTTTTAAATCGCGGCCAGGCCTGCCATGTAAATATTTTTTCTGGCCCACCCAAATGCAGGCGTGGGTTGGATACAATACACCTCCAATACATATCTGATACGGATATAGGAGTATAGTTGATTTTTTTGAAAGTTTGACCTTCCAATACTTTAGGGGTAATTTTTAAAATATATTTGGTCATTTTTAAAATTATAAAATCCTATGGAGTTAGAGATTTGGAAAGTGGCTTCTCATTCTTTTAATTTTTTTTTTTTGTTGCTTTTTTTTTAAAGGATTTGATCAATCCTATGGAGACTTATATTTTGTGTTTTGTTTATGGAGACTTGTATTTTGTGTTTACTTTTATGTTTTGAACTTATGATGGATGCAATATTAGTTTTTTTTTTTCTTTCTATTTATATTATTTTAATTATTGTATTGATGCCGTATTTGTATTCTAGTTTTTGAATTTTACTGTATCGACGAATCATATCATATCGTATTAGTATATCCGTGCAATATAGTACGAAGCAAAGGATAATAAATCAAGTAAATTATGCAATGGTCATTGTCGGCAAAATCAAACTCGTTGATGGGGGTGACCACCATTGCCATTAGGTCCAGGTCCTATCACTTCAATATTTCTTTGTTTTTATCTTATCTTTTGAAAAATAAAGCTTCTTTAATTCTGTCACTCTCTAAGACTCAAGAGTCTCTCAGCTAAATCAACTTTGGCTCTTTGGTGTCCATGCATGTCTTTACCCACGGGCTATCAAATTTTTTAGGTGGGATTGTTTGTAGGGTCAACCAACCATATACATTACCAATCTTTATTATCGGAGGACACTAATAATAAGGTTTTGGGCACAAACAATGTCCCACTTGGGGATCTTAAGCTTTATAACTTTTGTTAAGCTTACCCCTTAAGCACAACTGATTAGAGCATGATTAAGCATTGATTTTCAACCCTCACGGGTTGGCCCAGTGGTAAGGGCGTTTCCCAGGCCCTATGTAAACGGGAGATCCTGGGTTCGATTCCTGCCGTTGGTGAATCAAGCGATGAGGGCCAGGGACGGGGTGAAATTCCCTATAGCCTCTCAAAAAAAAAAAAAAAAAGCATTGATTTTCACTTATCATAAATAAGTGAAGTTGATTTGCAAAGCATTTGTAGCTCAAGTGGGTAAGAACATTTCTCCTTACATCCTAGGTCCTGTGTTCAACTCCCCCGATATCCTCTTGTATAATTTTAATTTTAATTTTTTAAAAGTTGATTTGTGAGTTGGATTATAGATGATTACACCAGACCAAATCTTTGGCAGGACAAATAAGATGGCCTACGCATGGGCTGGTAAGTGGAGCCCAAATCACCTATTCATATAAACAGGGCCTGGACAT